CAGGCAGGCAGGCAGGCAGGCAGGCAGACAGACAGACAGACAGAGAGAACACTCAAATAAATATATGAGTAACTCTGCTCTTTGCTGCTGCCATGAAAGGTTGCTCTCTGCCCTGTGCACTCTGCCTTAGAGCCGGCTGAATACGGACTGAAACCTCCATTAACTATGAGCTAAATAAACCTTTCCTTCCTTCAAAAAAATAAAATAAAATAACATAAATATATGAGCAAGTGAAAAATGGAATGAATGCCTGTAGAGCTACTGTAAAAATCTAAAATATGTCTTCCTGGTTTCAGCTCCTGTTTATTTTCAGAAATGCTGGGCACCCAAGGCCTCCTGCACACTGGGCAAATGCTCTACTGCATAGCCAGCCACCACCCCGGCTCTTGGCTTAGTGAGTAATAAAGATTGGATGCAGCAGTCTGGCAGCTGAACTCTCCGCTAGGTTACAGAGGTGGCAACAAGAAGCAAGAACCAAATTCACACTTCCTTTCTAAAAGGGACTGATTGGCCAGCCAAATAGCTCAGCGGATTAAAGCGCCTGCTTAAGCAGATGGAGCAGACAGGGTTCCATCCTGGTGTGCTGTGCCAGCCCCACCCCCCGGGACGTGCTGAGACGGTGATTGAGACTGGGCATGGTGGCAAGCACCTGTAATCCCAGCTCTTGGGAGTCCGAGCTACTTAGTGAGACCCTGTACACCCTGTAGACCCTGTCCTAAAAAACAAACAAACAAAAAAAGGACTGATTGCCTACTATTGTACATAATTTCCTTTCACACATGACAGGTAGTTCCATCCAAAATAAGCCAGTTCTTGTTAGTCAAAGAAATGTATTTCTGCTTTTGTCTCAGGTGACAGGCAATGTACATCAAAATTAGTTTCACTAATAAAACATCCCAATTCTCATATGAGCTAGGCAGATGAAACAGTGTACCTTCTTTCCAAATCTTGAAAGAAATGTACCATTCCTATGAGATGTAACTCTCTCTGCAAAGTTTTAAATCTGTAGAGCAACAAAAGAGCTCTGCAGTGCAGTTCTTCCCTGTGGAGGAAGACCTCTGCTTAATGACAATCAGAACTAAAGCTGAGGGACTGGGGAGATAGCTCAGTAGAAGAAGCACTTGCCTGGCAAGCACAGAATCCTGAGCTCAATCCCCAGTACTGAAAAAAAAAAAAAAAAAAAAA